AAAATCAAGAGTTGGGCCATCAACCAACTGAGTTACCCAGGCACCCCTACAATATTAATATTTAAACTTAAGATAAAATTGGGGCACCTGTGTGGCTCAGTTGGTTAAGCAACTGACTCTTGATTTTGGTTCAGGTCATGATCTCATGGTGGTGAGATTGAGCCCCAAGCTGGACTCCATGCTGAACTTGGGATTCTCTCTCTTCCTCTCTTCTTGCCCCTCCCTCTCCATCTCTCTCTCCCTCTCTCTCTCTCAAAATAAATAAGTAAACGAGGGGCGCCTGGGTGGCGCAGTCGGTTGAGCGTCCGACTTCAGCCAGGTCACGATCTCGCGGTCCGGGAGTTCGAGCCCCGCGTCAGGCTCTGGGCTGATGGCTCAGAGCCTGGAGCCTGTTTCCGATTCTGTGTCTCCCTCTCTCTCTGCCCCTCCCCCGTTCATGCTCTGTCTCTCTCTGTCCCAAAAATAAATAAACGTTGAAAAAAAAAATTTAAAAATAAAAAAATAAATAAGTAAACTTAAAAAAATAAACTTAAGATAAAATGTTTTATGCAATGTTTGCAAAGTATGAGACACGCTACACAAATTTAAAGAATTGTTTACATGTGAAAAAAAGTACAATTTAAAGATATTTGTTTCACTGTATTATCTGACCACCTACCTCGTTTTGGTTTCAGTCTGTTTGGAAGGTATTCACAAATCTTTTAACTGAGCCCATTTAACTTGCCCTTATATTCATTTGAGTACCAACAGATTAAGTATGAGCCCAGTGTCTAGAGAGAACTGGTTACACGAATTTATACCATTGTATGCACCTTGATATGAAATGAGCTGCAGGAATTTATTTCTAATTGAATAAAGTTGAAGCATATACCAGTGTGTAACCATGTTACCTTAATATATCTAAGAGGAGAAAAAACGTAGTTGAAATTGCTTCTCTTTACATAAAGAAAAACTGGTCATAGGTACAAAAACTAATAAAATTGGAATTTGGAGGGGGCAAATGGACATGAATTCTGGAGGGTATGCTAGGAGAGAGTTTTAAGGCAGATTTCTAAACCTCGTGCTGATTATTTAAAACTTGGTGTTCATTTATAAACAATAAACAAGTATATTAACCATATCTAATTTTTAATACTTTATAAATCAAATGAGAAATATATTTTTAATGAGAAGCCTCTCTTCTACATGCTACTTCTGTGAGCTCTAATTTTTATGAAAGCGGACAATACTTTTTGCAAACCATAAAATAGGAATTTCTTCAACTTTGTAAATAAGATATGCCATAGAGTGTCCTTCCACTAGCTCTCAAACTGGGAGGTATTTTCAGAAAAGGGAAGCATATTAAATGCACTAGGAATTTTGACTCAATCTGTTCAGCATATTAAACTTCTGGGTCCATGCCAAATTTATATAAGCTTTTGCTATTTTCTTCTATCAGTTAAATGGCCTGAGGGATAGCATAACCGTTCACATTTCAAAGTTCTCTAGGGATATACTAAAAAATGGATCTGCAAATAATTTCCTTTTAGTGTAGAATGTGAAGCTGAGGATTTTAATGAACATGTCCGGTAACTTGTGGTCCTTCTGAGAAAAGATCTTGAGCCCAGTTTCAGGCTGTGGGGTTCAAATTCCTCGCTAGCACCTGGCACTTGGAGGCTGCAGTTTCCTGATCTAAAGCAGCAGATGAGGGGGGTGGGGAAGCATGGGTGAGGCCACAACGGTGTCAAGGGCCAAATATCAAAACGTATCCAGACCCTGCACTGCACGTGGTGAAGTCACGATGTATGTGTGTTAAAAAAATTTTTTTCTTTATGTTTTTTGTTTTGTTTTGTTTTGTTTTGTTTTGTTTTGTTTTGTTTTTAAGAGAGAGACACAGAATCCGAAGCAGGCTCCAGGTTCTGGGCTGTCAGCACAGAGCCTGATGTGGGGCTCGAACTCAAAAGCGGTGAGATCATAACCTAAGGCCAAGTCAGACGCTCAACCGACTGAGCCACGCAGGTGCCCCCAAATGTCTGTGTTCTTAAAGAGCCCAGACCTAAGGGTGACCTTGCAGTCCCAGGCCAACCTCTGACCCCTGGAGGACACCAGGGCCTCCTGTCCTGTCTTGTCCCAGCCCAGCCGGGATTGGGCACCCCTCCTTCTCTGGACAGAGAGGTATTGCTCGGTGGGGAAATGGGAGTCTGGAAACAGGAGGTGCCACAGACCTGCGGGAAGACGCCGAAGTCCTTGGGGGAACTAGAGCTGGTTCTACTTGTACCCAAGTGTCCCTACTGTGACCAGCCGGAAGGGGCCAGCCACTCGTGTTGCAGTCGTGCTGGATCGTCCCGTCGGGGGCCCTGGGGCGAGGGTGGTGGATTATCCGGTTGGGAGGGCTGGGGCGGGGTCTGCAAGCCGTGTCCAATCAGGAGCACCGTCTCGGAGCACCGTCCAATCAGAACCGCGGGCGGGCTCCCAGCCGTGTGGGCTGGGCTCTGAGACCGCCAGAGGCGCTAGTGTGCACCTGCCCCGTGCGGCTGCAGGTGTCTGGGTCGGCGTCGCGCTCACCTGCCTGGGCCATGGAGCCACGGGGAGGACGCCAGGAGAGCCTGCAGCGAGGCCGCGAGATGGTGAGTGCGCGGGGTCGGCCGAGACCGGGAGGGGCTTGTTCAACAGCCGGTACCGTCTGGAGGTGGCCGCGGCCCGGGTTCCTCTCCCCAACCCCTCTCCAGGGTCTGACCCGAGTTTCTGTCCTTGGCCGCGGGGTTGGGTCCCAGCGTCCTGTCCCATCCCCGCGCGGGTCTGGGGTTCTCAGGACTGCCTGGGTGACCAGATGAGCACAGCTTGCTATCCACCCGGGGGTCGGGGAATCTCAGCCCGGAGTTAGCTCCTCCTACAAGAGAGCCTTAGGGGACGAGTGAGGAGTGCGGGGAGACCTGCTTGGGGTCCTGGGCTCGGAGAGATCCTCTGGTATGTCCTGGATCCCTAGGTGACCTCGACCCCAGTTCTCATTTCCTGGAGGGACATTAGTTGTCAGTTGACCAGACGCTGGTATGGAAGGGAAGAGAGGAATGGTTCCTGCCCCCTGGATTCTCACGGTGAAGGATGAAAAACCCGAAGGACAAAGAAAACCCAGTGAGTTGGTGCTGCAACCTGCAAAGCAAAGTGCACTGCAGACCCGCAGTGGGACAGGAGCCAGTGCCCTTTGGGAGGCTGTTCAGCGAGCATTTCAGAGAACAGGTGTTGGGGGGTGGATGTCCCACGTGGTAGGATGGCCGTACTTGACCCTTGAGTCATCTCAGTGTTCCCGTTCTGCACCGCCCCGCCCTGAGTTTGTCACCTTGCAAAGATTTATTTGGTTATTCGAGCCTGAGATTTGTCAGTAAATGTAAAATACATTTAATTAATAGAAAGATTAGATAAAAATAATTCCAAAGAAACGGGAAGGTTCAAGTTCAGAAATAATAATAAAAAGATCTAGTCTTACATACCATTTGTTAAAAATTCTTTTGTGCCTTTTTTTTTTTTTTCCTCGAGCATGTGTGGTTAAGTTTCTCACATCTGTTGTTTTCTTTTTGGTGACGACAAATGGAGTTCCAGGGCTTAGCCTCGAGGATGCTACTGGGGAAAAGAATCTAAGAGAAATAGAGAAAGCTTCTCTCGCATTATGAATGCATAAAAATGAATGCATTTACACACACACAAAAGCTTGGCCTATTAATTGGTGAGTTACAAAGACTCACCAAAATGTCAGCTATTTTTTGTTTACTGGGTGGGGAATATATGACTGTGGATAATTTTATTCTGTCTGGTATTATTGGATTTCAGAGATTAATGCTAAATCCTATTTCGTGAAATTTGCATCACGTGTTGAAATGTGATTGTTTATAAAGCATTTTATTCCCATGGAAATAATAAAGTGACATCTTTATTTTCTCTGAAAGGAACAGATACTTGTGGGTTTTCTTCTTTAGCCTTCTCTCTCCTTTATACATGAACACTGGGTTTGAGTGATGTTGCCGGATTCCTCAAACACTGAGTTTGTGTCATTTAAATCAATAGGGTCCAACAAGAGTGACTACCTCGAGTGGGGATAGGGGCCCTGCCCAGTGACTCCAAGCTAAGTAAGGCCAATCATGAGATATCAGAGAGAGAGAGAGAGAGAGAGAGAATATGAAATGTTTTTTTTCTGGAGCTTCTCTTCTGTGCTCATGTCCCAGCCTGTCCACACCATCCGCAGGAGGAATGTGTGTACCTAGAAATGCTGCAGGGCACTGAAAAATGTGTGTGGTTGGGGGAGAAAGAGTTATGAATTTGGGGGTTCATTTGGGTTAGAACTTTAAACTGGCTCCAGCCAAGAGTTTCCTGGGTAGTGAGAACTGAAGCCTGGAGAGGGAGCATTTCCGCACTGCAGGGAGGGGAGTGGAGGGTGTGTGGAGCTCCAGAGTTCATCCGTGTGTCTGCTCAGGTCACCCTATCTCCATCGCTGGGGACTGATCCAGCAGAAGGCTGGCATTTCTGCAGTGAGGTTCTGGACCCCAAGCCTGTGGGTGTGTTTCACCTTCTGAACCTGGTGGGTGTTCTTTGGGAATGGTGGATAAGTCAGTGGCTCTATCTGAGCCAATGGAAATGTTTGATTTTCATCCCTTCTGATTTCTGTATTGAATGTTGCTGCCATATAACTCCAGTCTCCCTAAAACTTTGGCCTTTTTATTTCCCTATTTGAGTGTTGTAAGATTTTTATTTTCTTGGGTGAGTAGAAATGGATTGAGAGATACAATAGAAGAGAATTCTGAAAGCATACAGAATTTTTCTTCCTTTTTTT